TGCGGCCATGTTGCCACGAACTTGGCGCGCCGCGCCGCGCCGCTTCGTCCCGCTTCCGCGCACCCGTTCGCTCCGTCTCGCTCAAACTTGATTCCCTCGACTCTCCGCGTCTCCGCGGCGGCCCGGATCAACCGTACCGCGTACACCTCCCTCCCCCGCCATGGCGGTAGGCATCCCCACCGTCGGAGTATTTGCCGTACCGCACCGCACTCCATCGCGCTGCGCGCCTCCGCTTGCCCGCGAGGCAGCCAGCCTGCTTGCTTGCCTGCTTGCTTGGCTCTCGATGTCAATGCCGTACACAGTGATTCCTTGTGCCCGCGTTCCACGCAAAAATTTATCTGCTGCGCCTATTTTCATGTAGCCCCTCGTCTCTTTTCCCCCGAATCTCGCGGATGCCATTTAATTTGCATCGGGTATCACGTTGCATGATTCAAAATTCAAGTATCCGGTCTCCAATGTAAATATCTTGTCAAGTAACATACGATACGATTTATTTAATATAGCCATCCGAGCTGATAAAGTTTAAGCTGTTGGAAGATTTTTGTATACCTTTGAATCAACTCGTTTAATAAATTACAGATTTATTAACATCGACTGTATTTGTATGTACAAATGTAGAATAAATGTAAAACAAACTGTATGACAAAAGTTCCTTTAAAACCTTACTATCGTGCCATTTTTATTTTGTCACAAGGCAAACACAATCGAGTTGTTTGTCGCGTCTATGAAAGAGAAATAGCGGAGATGGAGTTTTGTTTGTAACGGACAGCCTGTAGCTTTCTCGGCGTATTATTCACGCGGATCGTCTGCGTTCCGCGATTGTTAAAAGTGTCTGGCGATGATAAAATTCGCGATATACCAACCGATGATTCTCCTTTTGAGCGGAAAGCGCACGGATGAATATTGGATAGTAGTTGAAAATTGAATATTGAATAAAAGTACAGGACGAATCCAATCTCTTTTTCTTTTTTGCGTGTACGTTGTACGCGGCGTAGAAATCAAGATTCAAGTTTCTGCACGTGAGAGCGGTCCCTTTGTGCGTTTTGTTACGTGCGAGGAGAACGAGCGCGTTCGGCGGACCGAAAATAACAGAAAATGGAAGCCCGAGTGAAAGTACAAGTCAAAGGACAGGCGCGAGCGGCGTTGACGGAATTTTGACAAATAGCCACGGTTCGCAAAGACCTCCCGAGCTCCGAGATCATCAAAGTCAACGCGGAGAGCCAGGAATCCTGTCTCTTCCCCTCCCTCCCGCTCGTTCCCTCGACATATCGATTCCTCGAATGTACGCGCATCCCGTAACAAGTTTAAGCCAGACGAGAGAGAGAGGCATCGTTTCTGCCGTTTCTGCGGCCTCACGCGTCGTCATTTCGATCCATCCGCTTTAAGTCTGGAATCTTTCAGGATATAGCGGAGCGCTTTGCTCGTAGCTGCGTAGCCGTTGCTTAGTCGTTGCGTTGCCGAAGCAAAACAGCGGGCAATATAGAGGAGGAATTACCGGTCTACGCGTCGTATGTCGTAGCATGATTTGATCCTATTACAATACCAATACGACCGAACCGAGTCATCATCCGAGAGATCAATTTCGAGGTGAAGACTTGATGGTACGGCGAATAATAACGAATAGAGTCTAACTGGAGTTGGATTGAAAATGAATGAGGGGGGCCCTCACGGCGCCAGTTGCGAAAGCCGCGCCTGAGGTAACGCACTCCCCTCCCCGCTTTGCCGCGCTCTGCCCCCTCCGACCGCGCGCGTCGGTGCTACGTCGTTCGTTCGTTCGTTCGTTCGTTCGTTCGTTCGTTCGCTCGGTCGTTCTCGGGAGTCTCCCTCCCTCCGAAGCATCGCGCCGAGTCGAGCGCCGCCCCTCTCGCGTCTCGGGGTCGCTCCCCCCCGCACGGCGGCCTGTTACCCTCACCCCGCGGCCGCTGCCCGCCCCGAACATCCTCCGCTACCCCGCACCCGTCGCCTCACCCGTGATTCCGCCTTGCTTGCCTGCCAGCCTGCCCGTCCGTCCTTACGTCCGTCCGTCCGCCGTTTGGATCTATGGTTGTGTGCGGTGGATTTCGTGACGTTAACCTGGCGGCCCTGAAAACGCCGTGTGGACCGGCCGCACCGATTTTCGTGCCGCAGCAGCGAGACATCGTGTCGTCGGGTCGCGAGTGCGCGAGAACGCGAGTGTTTTTTAATCGCGGTGGCCCGTTGTTGCTGTCGCCGCCGCCGCCGCCACCACCGCCGTCGCAGCAGCAGCAGCAGCAGCAGCAGCAGCCGTCGTCGTCGTCGACGTCGTGGTGCTCGTCGTTGCTCGCTAAAACTGGTGCTGCTGACGATCGGCTCTCCGCCGGGGAATACGTTTTACCAAGGGAATAGCTCGCCGCGGGTAAGCTTCTTCTCGGCAAGATTGTGGGAAGGTGTGCGGGTAGGAAACGTCGACGAAGAATAATCCTCAATCTCCTCGTTATTATTGTCGTCGTCGTCGTCGTCGTCGTTGTCATCGTCGTGGCTCGTGGTCGTCGTACCGTCCTCGCTACCGTCGGTAACGTCCTCTCGCGAACGAGTACGAGAGGCATCGTTGTGTTCCGTAACAGCTTCTTCACGATGAAATTAAGCTGGAGAATCTAAGAGCGATTCTGACTTTGTGCTCCTTTTGTCAAGTTTCTATCGTTTCTTCTTCGTTTCTCTTTGTCCTTGCATCTCTCTCTCTTTCTCTCTTGGTTTCCTCTCTCTCTCGTATTCCATCTCTCTCTCTCTCTCTCACCGATGTCCGTTTTCTTTCTCGCTCCTCCGGTTCTTATTCTCTCTCTTTTAGGCAATCACGCGAGTGTGTGTAATCTCTCATTTTCTTTCTCACGCACATCCACGCATCCACACACACACGCGCGCGCGCGCGCGCACGCACACACACACACACACACACACACACACACACACAGAGCGACGTAACTACACGCCACGAATACGTTCTCTCTGTTCTTTCTCTTTCTCGTCCTCCACCTAGTTCTCTCTCTCTCTCTCTCTCTCTCGCTCGCTCCCATACTCTCTCTTCCCCGCTTTCTATATCCTGCTTATTCTCCGTTTAGGATAAAGCGGAATAAGGATTAAGAGGAAAGGAAGAAAAAGAGGAGCGGTTTCTCGTTACGATGATGACGATGACGACAACGTGAACCGCTGTGCTTTCCTCCAACCGTATCACCTGCGTCCCAAAGTATAAAATTGCCAAAAGCATATCTCCACGATACAGTGCAGTGTGTAACAGTGAAATAATGCATTTTCCTAATTGTCCTCGCGAAGAACGCCACGACGTTATGCGCCGCTTCGCGTCACGTCGCGTCGCGTCGCGTCGCGCCGCAGTATGTGACCGCGTTTGCCTCCATCACATCGTTCATGTGCACGTCGCCGTCTTCGTATTCTAATCCTTGTACATGTCCCTTCGTTTCTTCGTTCGCTCTCTCTTTCTCTTTCTCTCTTTTGCCCGTGTGTTCGTACGTTCCTTCGCTCGCTCATTCTTGTCCTTTAATTCCTCTCGTCGATTTCGAATCCGTTGCCGATCGGTGAATCGGGAAATTATATTTAATAAACACACGGTGCGTTTATTAAAACGCGCTGATGCGCGCAAAGGTGTCGCGATTACCGACCGAGTGCACGCTATCACGCCCGTATCCCGTTCCTCCGATGTGATGCATCGCCGAGCAAGTTGGTGCCGGTACCCCTTTACTCCCGCGTTCGACCCCGCGCTCTTGTACCGAACTCTGTCGTGGTTGTGTGCCCGCCGCTCGTCTGCCTCGTCGACGGAGTTGTCGTCGTCGTCGTCATCATCATCATCATCATCATCATCATCATCATCATCATCATCATCATCATCATCATCATCATCATCATCATCATCATCACCACCACCATCGTCATCATCAACGTCCTCGTCAACGTCCCGTCGGCGCTCTCTGTGTTCTCAGTGATGTGTGACCGACCGTCGCATTTTTGTGTGCCCGGGGAGTCTCCGGGGTCCAGCAGTGGCGAGGCGCTCGCGCCCCCCAAGTACCGCGGTGTTTCAAGAGCCCCGAAAATAACGAGCCTATTAATAGGAGATATCACGGCGTGGCGACCGCTCCGCGTGTGAACTTGAAGATAGCGAAGAGAGGAGGCCGACCGACCGACCAACCGAACGCTCGGCTACGTACGTATATCATATACGTTTTATGGTGCCCCCGATGCGACGCACGGAATACGAACTCCAGCGGAGAGGCGAGGAAGCGAGGACCGAACCAGCGAGAGAGTCAACCTCGCTCTCGGCTCTCTTCTCTGATTGACAATGAAAGAGCGGTACTGTGCTTCCCGCGATACGGAGAAATATCCGTTTTCGAGAGGAAGAAACGGTTCTCTTTCGAGGAAACGCGCGATAGCGAGGCCCGATATCTGTCTGTCGCTTATCTGACTCGCTTCTCTTCTGGATTCGTGGAAATCTGGACGCCGCGAGGCGTCGAATTCGGCGCGCCGGAAGCGACGCTCCTTCATCGCCGAAGCCGACGGCACGCGTCGTCCGAATGACGTTCAAGATTCGCTTGTATCCATCCGGAGAGACTAGACAATGCAACAGTGTCTATGCAAACACGTTAAAATGTGCAAAAATTCATTCGCAAGAGTGAAAGAGCGAATGCTATAATCATGCTGCTATGCATGCGTCTTAATTCTCTTTAATTCACTCGAAATTTTCTACTCGGTGGTCGACTCATTAAGACTCATTAAGATCCATTTTCGCATAGCACTGTACCTTTCAATTGTTGGAGCAAATGACAAATGAAATGTGCCCAAAATTTTCGGAAGGATACAATGGATCTGAATTTTACATGACTGCTCCGATATATTCGTATTAACTTAAGTTTGTGTTAAACAATGTTTCTTTCAATTCTCCATTTTTTTTCATAAATTCATTATGGTTGCCCAATATCTGGTTGCCCGGATCTTGACAGTTTTCAATTCTAATGTATCTCGATTTAAAGTTGAACTTAAATTGTCCGTGCAATCTTATGATGGTTCTTTCGTGCGAAAAGTGCATTTAATCATATTTGCCAAACAACTTGAGTGATGGTACGTGCAAGTGATAATTACAAAACGTCGCAATTCCAAAAATTTGGTCGTTGAAAGATCGATTCGATCAAGACCTACAAAGTCGTTAAACAAAGTCATTAGACAAAGTTTCGTCCTGTGATTTTCTTAGCGTGAATTTTTCTCATCGAACTCGTTGAATCATAAACTAAACAAAAGTTGCGCCTGGTTGTTGTTTCTGCATATCTCAAGTTTTAATTATGAGACTATCAGCTGTGCGAGTTAGAAATTTAACAATTTAGATGAAAAAGTTGACGATTTCTCTTCTGTTTTTTTTCCCGAATTGCGAATTGATTATTTTCATCGATTCAAACATTAATTTTTGGTATTGGCCGTCAGTTGTGATCATTCATTCGGCTGCTGATCTTTCATAACTCGCAAAGACAAGCCGTCCCGATTGCTTATGATTTTCTTGCACGGTGTTACTAATTTAAACTCTGACGTTGGCTGCCAAGCGATCCTTTGCGAGTCTTTGCGACATTGATTCGCATTGTTCCTTGAGAATTGCATTATGCAGTCCACAAAGTGGATTATCAGTCATTCGTTATTTCGGCCTGTGGTTCATTACTCGGTAGATCGAAAGTGAAAGTGGCACGAGTCAGAAATAATCGCGCGCAGGACAACCGGATACGGTACAAACAAATTATCAATGACTTTGGTTGCTGTGTTTGACACAAGAGCTCCGCTTTTGCTGCCTCGAAAGAGATTTGTTTTTTGTGTAATTTATCGCACAAGTCTGTACCTTATTTATATTCTATACTTTACCATCTCTCTCTCTCTCTCTCTCTCTCTCTCTCTCTCTCTCTCTCTCTCCTGACCATGAATGTGATATTTTATTTGAAGCGTAAAAAGTGTTAAGTACCTAATGGGAATAGAATTTTTGTGAATAGTTATCGTTTTTATGTTCTTTTTCCGTATCCTATTCGTATCTTCTTTTTATTACTTTCCGTGTTTAAAATGAAGCTAATGAATAAACGTTCGTTATTCGAGGAAAATGGAAGAAAGGAATAAAAATATAACAAAATGAAGAAAGTGGTTGGAGACAGAGATCTTGTCGGTTAATTTCAATGTGACCTTATTTCGAATAGAATTCAATTTAATAGTTGAGATACCTAATTAGTTTATTGTTTTACCACAAATAAAAGGAGGTAACTTAGGTAACTATAATACTGTAATATTCTGTCGTACGTTAGCACGTATTTGAATCTCGGAATCGCGTTTCGTCAAACTTGAGAATCGCAGACTTGAGTTTGAAGGGAGAGGAAAGGGCTCGGTTGATGATATTTTCGACAATATTAGTTTGCGCACAGCAAATTCCGACATAATGGACGACGTTACAGTCACAGTGTTTCATCTTGTTGAATCGTTGCGCGAGAAGGTCGATACTGCCATCGTCGAATTTTATTGCCGATGGCAATCGAAAGATAAATCCCGTCTTTCATTTCGCGAATATTGTACGTTTGAAAATTTTGTTAAATATCAAAAACATGTTTTCTTTTAAATCATTTAATACATTTCAATAAATGTATGCACCATACATGTTTTACTTGATGAAAATTCTGTCGGAGAACCCATTGCTCATAAAGTTTTAATACTCTACTGCAACTACTGTATTTTTTCACCAGCTAAGATTCAATGCTCTAGGGAGAGATCTATTTTAGATAACGAATTATAATTAAAAGTTAAATTATAGTTAAAACTTTCCGAACAATAATGGATGATGATATATTTCACAAGCGTTGATGCAAACAAATTGATGCACTTGGAACTATTTGTTATAAAAGAATTAATGAATTTTTGTTTACGTAATATTAGCTTAATTACAGTTTGCTCAAAATGTTATCATCAAAATGTAAAGCATTATAATCACATTCAGAGTCTCATTAATTTATAATCTTGATCTAGTTCTTATAATTTCTTTCTCGGAAAAATTTCTCAAAATTTCGATAATATTACTTTGTCGCGCTTTCTCTGTGCACGGCAATAGATGTCTCGACATTGAAGCAATCAACATTCCACTCAGTTTGGCCTTTAGCGTCCGTTTCGCCAAGAGAAAGTGCGCGACATTCGATACACCCTGTATACATTGGCCAGCTCGAAACGACCTTACACAGTAACCGCCGTGCGCGAAACATTCTTGGCTTCCGTAACTCTTGTGCTCTATTAGGAAAGCTCTAATTTCACGTTATCCCTGTATGAATAATACGTCGCGAATCTATATATCTTGCAGTATCTAGATTTCTGAATATTTAATATTGCGCGGGTAGGCGTATCTGGTACGATAAAAGTTACTGCAAATCAGTTATATAACATCAAAATGGATTATTCTGTTAATTATTATTCACCTAATAATAAACGAGGAAATCTTGTCTAACGAAGTTTAATGAATATGATTACATTTATTATTGTCGTCTAATATTTACAATTTTACATTTTTAATATTTAATTGTTTTTCCCAAAGCTCTATTCTTCTCTTCATTTAGCTATTTCTACGTGCAATACAATTTAACACATCTCTCATGCGTTACGCCATGTTAATCCCTTTGCCTAAATCTTTTTCCTTTTACGTAGAAAGTAAGTACGTTCAATGTGCTTATAGCAGCTCTCATAGGATCGGCTTTTCATTTTCGGATTTTTGTAATACATTTAGGTATCTCGTACTGCACGAAAATACACGCTCGCTATCTGGAGAAAGATAAATAGAAAAAATTTATACACATACACACATACGTAATCGTCCTCAATACCAAAAATATTTTAAGCATTTAATTTCGAGTACACGCCCACCGTTATATAAGTTCGTGCGACGAACGATTCCCTTATCGGTTATCTGCCGCATACTTCAATCGAGAAAAACAACGCGCGATTATGTCGATTTTACGTGGAAATATCGTGGAATCGTACGCTTGCTGGGCCAACTTGATCGAAAACTTTTTCGGTTACGTCGCAAGAAGTTGTGTATATATCGCGCGAGCGAATTATTAGATTTTTTAGCATGCCTCGAATACGGTAAACATCAAAGTTTCAACAGCGATTTTTATTTTGTATTTGCAGCGTTATTTGCTCCGCTTATTTTAGCGATTTGCACGTGATACCACGTCATTGTGCAAGATCGCGTGGGGAATAAAGAGTCCGCGTTGCGGACTCTTTTTTGTAATTTATAGAATTTATAGAATTCTATGTTTCGAGTACGTTAGTTAAGTAGTTACGGCTTTTCATTTTCTGGTTAATTTAGACTTAACCTAACCTAACATGTAAAAATTGCATTTTTTTTACCTATGATTAATCGTTAAACTTAATGGTTTTGTAGCGAGT